CTGAAGCGAGGTCGGTTTTGACCATCCACCTTGATCTGAGCGGCGGAGTCTTTGGTGAGAACCGCCTGCACAAGCCGCTTGATGGACTGCTCAGGTCCTGCGCTACAGGTGGCACCGCTGTCAAGCATGCCATAGCAAGTAGTGCCTGCGCTCACTGCAGCCATGTCCAGGTCGCCATCGTTGGCCTGGTGTTCTTCAGCAGCTTGTAGTTCGAACTGCAGGCCATAGTAGTCGTGGATGTCGGCCATGTAGGCGTTGACATTGTGGTTGCCCTTGGACTTGGATTTGCCTTTGCCCTTGAAGTTGAAGGCATTGGCGTAATAGTCCTCCACCATGTAGGCCTGTTTGCCTTTCCCTTTTCCCTTCTTACCCTTCATGGGCATAGCGTAGGTGTAGCCCCAGTCGTCCTCCATGTAGTGAAGCCATCGACCTTTTCCTCCACCAAAACCTTTAGGTTTTCCTTTCCCTTTTGGACTGTTTCTGTCGGGACAGTCCTTGGCCATGCGTTGATGGCTGCCACAAACAAAGCATCCAGTGGAAGCCGATGAAGATGCCGCACCAAAGCCACGGTCCTTCTTCATGAGCTGCGTGGCTCTTTGAGCTTGGCTCCATGAGCGACCGTTGTCCAGAGCCATGGCGTCGGCGTCACCTTGAGGTCCTTCTCCATCACCATCACCAGCGGCGTCATGTTCTCCTCCATGTTCATCCCATTCCCAATCATCCCAAGTGACTGGTGTCATCCAGGAAGAGTCCCACGTAGGTTCCCATTCGTAGTTCCACTCATCGTCCTCCTCAAGGTTGAAGATCTGAGGTTGATGATGACCAGGATGAACTTGTCCAGGACGTTTCGTGAAGTGCTCGTCATAGAGAATCTCGAGCGCGGACACGACGGAGACATAGTCCAGCTTGTTGTTGGTGCTGGCCAGAACTGAGCGCCATTCTTCTGGTGAAAGGGCTGCGGCCGTCAACAATCTCCATCCTCGGAGCTGCTCCAGGATGAAGCTGTCCATGTCCGAAGAGGATTCACCAGCGTCTCTTCGAGTTGAACGAGCCGGAGATCGAGGTGGTGGATCATCAGGATCCTCAGTCGGGACCTTCTCGTAGGCTTTCTCCTTCTTCTTCCTGGGGTTGTCCTCGTCCTCATCATCGTCGTCCTCCTCGTCATCCTCCGGGATGTAGAAGGTCTCAGGTCGGCCACTTCGTTCATCCTTGAGGAGCTGCAAGGCCTCCTTGAACTCCTCAAAATGAAGTGACTCCTTGACCAGGAAGGTCGCGATGGATTCTTGGGCTCCTCCCCGAAATGAGAAATATTGACTCATCACGGAGGCTGTGTTTGGAAGCTTTCTCCTCACCAGGGGCGACATGGAGAGCTTCTGCAGCAGTCGTTGGAGTCCTTGAGGTCCCACGAACTCCTGTTGCTCCCAGCCCATAGCAAGTAGTCGGGCAGGGCCACTGAGCTTCGCAAGGACCCTTGGAGCGAGGAACTTGCGGACATCGGGCTTTGATCCCATGGCGTACCATGAAATCTCCTTTTGGAAGCGTCGCCATGTCCTGGGGTTGCCGTCCCAGGAAGGCACCGAAGAATCTGCAGCCACAACCTTTTCCATTGCAGCGGCCGTACAGCAAAATGCGTGTACTTGGAGAAGTCGGGGCTCGGTATGAAGAGCTCCTCAATGAAGTAGGTCTCAACTAAGTTGAGGAAGTGCAAAAAGGAGTTGAAGAGCTCCGCGAAGAACTCCTCGGTGAAGAACTGGCGTAGGGCCCACGTAGAGCTCCACAAACAAAAGGGTCGAGGCGTTGCCTCAAGAGAAATGCGCCTGGTCAATTACCAGACTTTGCCTTGGCCTGCTCTTTGTCGTCCGTGTCCTTGGAGACCTCGGCCTTGAAGTCACCTGCAAGCCCTCCAGGGAGAAGAGAGCGTGCACTCACCTCCGAAGTGCCAAAAACACCTGCCCAGGGTTCTCGCTGTCCTGTAGGCCTCGAAGACGATGAAGGTTCCGTCTTCGCCACAGGATCTTGCCGTTCCTCAGGAGCCTCCTCCAGGTACCTGGCGTAGGCCTCAGGTCCAGGGGTAGGAAACTCGGCCAGTGGACGGGCGTGTTGATCCCGAAAGGGGAGGTTTGGCCTTCTCGGAGAGCGTGACCTCGACCGTGAAGAAGTCCTGTAGGCCACCAAGACACCGTTGTCGTCCCAAATGTTGGAGGGACTTCCCTTCCTCTTGCCACCGCCCTTCGTGATGAGGTACTCGAACCGCAGAGGCCACCGGAGTCCTCAACAAGAGCGATGAGCAGGAAGTCGTGCAGTGCCCAGGATGGAACACTGCTCCGCTACCAATGCGGTAGCCAAATAGGGCTTTAGGGGTGCCCTAAACCAACCAAACCACGTAGTCGAAGCGCAGCGAATGGCGAAGCCACACCAAGTGGCCGAAGCGAACACGAGGGTCGCGCCAAGCGACCTTTTCCGCTGCTTGAGCCGGGGCTCAAGGCCTGAAAGGCCAGGTGCAAAGGTTCATGCGAGCATGAAAGCCAAACATGGAAAAACCGCTATCGCAAATGCCTATCACCGGGTGGGGAGTCTAGGTTTCCGCTACCACTTAGAATGCCTCCCAGCACATTGAGGCGTACCTGAGACGTGTCTAAAAAGTAATATTGAGACGTACCTGGGCTAATTTGTATATAGTATATGTATTGTTGAAGTGTTTTGCCTAGTGCCTTGGCTCAAACAAGGGAAATTCAGGAATTTGAGCTGGCGCCATGCAGCACTTGAAGATCTATATATACTTGAGAAATATATATATATATATATGCACATAGTGTCTACATGATTCAATCACTGTATAGAGCTCATTTGATGCGAAACACTGTAGCCGGACTGACAGTTAGAATGCCGCCCTAAATCTGTACTATTTGTGGGGCCGTGCAGGCATTCTAAGTGTAGGAAAATGATTATTGAGGCGTACCTGGGCTAATTTATACATAATATATATGTATTGTTGAAGTGTTTTGCTTACTGCCTTGGCTCAAAAGAGGGAATGTCAGGAATTTGAGTTGGCGCCATGCAGCAATTGAAGATCTATATATACTTGAGAAATATATACATATATATATATA